TTGACTTCTATCGCGTACACGTAAACTCTATCATCATAGTTTATCTAATATAAAAATAAGAAGATGTGGTATGATTGTATATGAGACAACTCTCCACCATGCAGAGACAAAATGACATATAGAAGTTCACAACTATAGGTCATCGTATGGCCTTCAATGAGCAAAACCCATACCGCATACTAAGCTTGTTTCAATTTGTGAAAATAGAAACTTCATATTTACTTTCAAGAATACATCTGCCGTCTTGGGACGTTGTTGTTTTCATCTGACACAAGTATGATGATGAAAGATTCAGTAATTTAGCTGTTTACAAATATATGAATGTGCTGTGTTTTAGATATTAAACAATTATTAAACTTTTAACCATGATAATTTAAACCAGAGACATATAATACAAGAGATTCGCAACTCTGCGAAATCCCGTAATAACACGCGGCCACTAGTTAAACCTCGCGAGATCTCCTTAGGTAATAAAGTCATTAATAAAAGTATTAAAAGTACTCGAAGTAAGGACGAATGTTTAAGCATAACATAAACTGTTTCAGTGTTAAATTTATCATAATTAATTAAATATAATTTGAGTACATATATAATTATTTATTTTAATGTAATTTTGATTTTAGATTTGTATTATTGAAAAAGAGACATAATTTGATATTGTATAAAAAAAAAACTGATATTAAATAATTAACACTTGATAAATTGTGTCAGAGTTCATTTTATTTGATAGTTACAGATTGGGTTTCTATTGAATATACACCTGTCTCGGAGACATAATTTCACAGTGTGACATGTATATTAGGTTTGAATTATTCGATGACCAGGTAAATCACGAACATGTTATAAATAATGAGTTTTAATTGACACCTTGTAAACAAGAAGTTGTCACACCACAGGTGTCCACACTCTTTCCAAAAATACAATCCTCATTTATTGGGCTTTCATTGAGTTTTTTTTCTGTAGGATTGTCGGTAAATGTTTGATTTCTAAGTGTTGTTTGACAGTTTTATCATATAGGCTTGCATTGAGTTGTTTTTTTAAATGATTGTCGGTAAATTTATGGTTTCTTCATGTTCGAAGTGTGTATTGAGAATTAATATTTAAGAAAATTACAATTAATTTCTCATTTGAATAAAGCTTCATTCATGTGCACGCAATATGGAAAATTCCGATTTTATTTCGTGGGATGACAACCTTAATTTCGTGGGATGACAATCTTAATAGTTACGACTTAGATATACTCCTAGTTGAATAAACTGATAACGAACTCTTTGTTGATAGTGAAAAGGACGAAAACATAAGCGAGAGACCCACCAACAAAAACAATTGACAATACTGCATACATAGATGGATATGTGTGTCCTCGAAGCAACAAAAAATCTATAAAAAAACACAGGTCATACATCAAAGCAACACGGAAGACACTATTTAAAAAGTATTTTATAACCTTGTTTCCACGAGACAATCATTTGTAGTGGTTTTTGTCTTTTAATCATTTGTAGCGGTTTTTGTCTTTTTATTCTGGGGTAAAGAGATGGCAATTTAAAAGTAAGATTGTTTATGTGTATACATATACAAATCCTTGGTGTAAATAAAATCTTTTATTATCAAATATATATATATATATATATATATATATATATAAAAGTCTAAATTGAAAACAACGTTCAAACCTATGATTGCGTTGGATAAAAACCGCAATTTTTATACGTGTGCATGTAAAACAAATTTCTTGGTAGAGGGGTCTAAATACAGCACAAACAACAATTTCCAAAAGACCAAAAAAAGTGAAAAAGTCTATTTTAACAAAACGCATTTGACTAACAGGTCGAACAACTGATGTTCTTAAACCCTGCTGACTGCCATTGGCGATTGCCAAATAAATTGATCACCAGATCTAACAAAATGGATCTTAATATTAATTAAATACCAAACAGAAAACAATAAACTTGTGGAAAAGATGATATACCACAAACATATATATATATATATATATATATCTTTTGCAGTCACCATTGAAATGTCCTCAATACGATTTTAATTTAAAAATGAATTAGGTTCATGTTTTGAACGAGAAGCGTAGTCTGAAACGACAACAGATGCATATGAAGCTCATTCATAATATTACGACCAGCAGAAGGTTTCCTTTACTAGGAAAATTTTACTCCTTTTGTAAATTTACTGCATTCGTTCATCTTTGGCACCCTAAAAAGAAGAAAAAAAACAATGACTTCAGAATAGGAGAAAATAAACAACTTTGCTATAAAAAGAATGAAAAATGAATAAAATGTCTAGCAAAATGCAGGCTATAAATTTCATAGTGCACAAAAAAGAAGGACTGATTTAAGGAAATTTGTCAATGAACAATTTCAATATTTAGCCAGTTTAATAAAAAATTTCGGGTATCAATCAGAAAAAATCGCCACATTGTTGGTTCAAATTTTACGAAAATAGTCTTATTTTCAGTCACGAAACAACATTTGGGAGTACTATTGGCCCATAAAATTATATATTTATTAGCATATTTTTCAAGTTTTAAGAAAAAAATTGGGAGATCAAATGGTTTCTACGGCAATAGGTGAAGTAAAATGGGCCGAGTTTTAACTTTGTTTGTATTTGATTAATCTCATCATTAGAACACATTTTATCAATAACAAATTATTAGAATTAGTTTTTTGTAACTTTTAAATATACTTGCATGCTTTAGCTGTGAAAGGTATCGGCATTATCCATTAGAAAAATCGTGAGGCGTAGAACCTTTTACACAACAATACGGGTTATTACCCATAAATCCATCGGATTAATCGGCTTTCCGGTGGCCACGTCATTTCATTGGCTGTTATATAGACTCTACTAGAGTTGCGAATCTCTTGTATTATATGTCTCTGTTTAAACGTAATGTTGATTAAATGCGATTGTCCTATAGAAAAAAAAAACGCCAATGACACTTTGTTTAAAAGCGCCGGCAAATGTCCTAAAATTTAAAGCGCAAATGTCAATAAAAAAAGCGCAAAAGTCCCATCAAAAAGCGCAAACTTCCCGTGCCGGTGAATATATGCATTACTCAATGTTGCCCTGAGCATATAACTATATCAGAACTTCTGATTGTTTATTTTTAAAATTCAGTTTGTACTTTTACATATTTTTACATATTCGTGATGAAAATTGACATATAGCCTAAGGATTTGTTCACCTTTGTCTATAATGCAGTTGAGATCTTGTTTATATACAATTGCTGTACTGAGGAACCGGAAAAACTGTCATTGCCTTCAGATATGGGCAATATATTGTTTTACAATGCAATTAAATCGTCCGAAGTCAGGCTTTGTGGTATGACAAAGCATGATATAATTTATATAAATACCAACCAGTGAAAAAGTCAATTTTCCGATTATCATGATTGAGGGACTGTTCTATACTCCTTATTAGACGTATTAGCTTTAGTGAAACGAAAAGAAAATTGTTTGAGTCTTAAAACACAACTATATCTTAAAAGTGCACCACACTTTAACAACTGGAACTAATCATAACATAACCGAACTTTATATCTGTTGTAAAAGCCGTAAGGTGTGTGTGTGCCCAGCGTCCGTACCTAAAATCGGGAAAAATATCGTTTTTGGAATAAAACTTTCCAAAGTTTTAACTCTCGCGCCCCTAACTTCAAATCCTGCAGACTGCGCTTGTAATTCTTTGATCTTTATTGATAAACAGTATTCGCCAAAACTACCATATATATTTACAACGAAGCAAGAGAAATATTGTTTTCAAAATTAGAAAGGTATGCTATATCCATTGAGCTTCTATTGGCTGGTGACGGTGACCTTTCTTTTCGGCAAAACAAAAAGAAATTTTTGAGTCTGTACAAGCATATATCAGAATAACACAAGATCTAAAACAATCAATTAACATTCTGATTTGATTCCTACTTTCCAACTCTTCACTCCAGTCCAGTTTTATATATTATTCCATATTATATTGTATTTTTTGTATTTTTTTTGTTTTTTTGTTTTTTGTTTTTTTGTTTGCAGTTTGTTTTTATACATGCATTCCACTATGTTTTTCGTCATTATCTAATGTACTTTGTGTTTATATTTATATAGGGCGAGGACGTCACTAATGTTGTTATAACTTGTGTCCAATCCTTTTTGCTACTTTTGCAAATAAAATATGTTTAAACTAAACTACCATTTATATCCATCGTTTTTTGTTTGTTTGTTTTTTACTGTTTTGGAGATTCTTTCTGATATGTCAAGTGTCTAAGTGCTGATTTTTTTATCCATCAATCTTGCAAAAAAATGTACTTCATGTAAGAGGGTCTGGATGGGTTTACATAATAGAGAATAATGGGCAAAATGTGCAGAATAAAGCGGGGCTAAAAAATAAGAAATACAGAAATGAAGGAGCCACCATCCACACTCTCGTGCAATAAAAGAAGATTTCGCAATCGTTTTCTCAGTGGCAGACCCAGAACTGTTTACAAGTATAAGGGGGACCCACTGACAGCCATAAGAGGGGGCCGCTACAGTCATGCTTCATTGATTTCCTAAATAATCAACCAATTATTCCCACAGAAAGGGGGCACTAGCCCCCCCCCTTTCCCCCTTCCCCGCCTATGTTTCTTTCAAGCTGATATGTTAATGTTTTGATTTTTTTGGGGGGGGGGACGAGGGCGGTACTTTGATAGTAAAAACAACAAATAGAAAACAAAACAAAAGCGACTAGTAATCCGAGCATGTTTGTCCCTGCTGAAATCAAAACATTATAAAAATGAAAAAGTCAAAAAACAAATAGATTATTACATTTCAGGAAATATCGGCCCTAACAATGTTTCTATATTTTTTGCCATTTTGTGTTGTTTTGTTGAGGTTTCCAAAGTTTTTGAATTTCCCGCTTTCTATCATGTATGGGATTTCGTGCTTATTTTTAGTTAAGAACAATCTAAGAACAACGTCATTTCCAGAATCTTCTGGAAATACCGGAAACGTCTAGACTCATTTTGCGCAGTCGCAGATTGACTTACAAATCCGTTATAACGACAGATTTACCTGGCACATACACTACAGTTGGCAAAATAGGTTTGTTATGTGACATTTTAGTTTCTGCTTTCGTTAAAAAGTATCAATGATGGGAAAGGACTATTACAAAATTCTTGGTTTAAGCAAGAACGCAACAGAAGATGAAATCAAGAAAGGATATCGTAAAATGGCATTGAAATATCATCCAGACAAAAATAAATCACCAGGTGCCGAGGACAAATTCAAGGAGATTGCAGAGGCATACGATGTATTGAGTGACAGTAACAAGAAAGAAATTTATGATAAGTACGGTGAAGACGGTTTGAAAAACGGGCCATCACCTAGTGGGGGACCCGGAGGCCCCGGAGGAACATATCACTACGAGTTCCAGGGTGACCCAAGAGAAACCTTTAAAATGTTTTTCGGTGACAATGACCCTTTTGCCAGCTTTTTCGGTGGCGGAGGAGGCCAACCTGGTGGACCTGGGGCACGTGTATTTCATTTTGGACCAGGAGGGGGTGGACCTCATGAAAATATGGATATAGACGATGATCCTTTCGGTGGTGGATTCCATGGTTTCGGGGGACAACCTGGATTACCCAGAAGAAAGAGAAAAGATTCTGCAGTTGTTAGAGAACTTCCAATAGCACTGGAAGATATCTGTAAAGGGACAACCAAAAAGCTAAAAATTACAAGAAAAGTGCTCAATGCAGATGGCCGATCGACAAGAAACGAAGACAAAATATTGACAATAGATATAAAACCCGGATGGAAATCTGGCACAAAAGTGACATTTCCTAAGGAAGGAGATCAAACTCCAAACAATATACCAGCAGATGTTGTGTTCATTATTAAAGACAAACCACATCCTTCTTTTACCAGAGATGGTTCCGATATCAAATATAAAGCTAAGATTACACTAAGAGATGTAAGTATATCTGAATTTCATGTAGAAGTGTACATTTGTATTGAAAATAAGGGAAACATTCTACTTGGTATGGGTTTTACTCATTGTTGAAGGTGGTAACGTGACCTATAGTTTTCAATTTCTGTGTCATTTGGTCTCTTTTATAGCTTTAGTTTTATTGTAATGTATTGTAATAGTTCAATAATTTAATTTTGGATGTAAGACGTCTTCTGATTGCCTGAAAGTGTTTTGTCTATCAGCTCATAGACATAATTTTGTCATGTGACCGTGACGTCACCAACGTTTTTTTTCAAAATTGACTCCTTAAAAATGGAATTTAGAATTAAATTATAAGGAATGACTGTAATATTTTTTCTGTCTATTCGAAATAACTTAAAAAATGTGGTGCACACTTTTAAATAACCTGCTAAAGATTTTTGATGTTATTTCTTCATAGACAGAAAAAATATTACAGTCATTCCTTAAATAAAAAAAAAATCACAACTATTTTTACACTTTTTAATAATTTAAACTGTAATCATGGTAATTGTTCTGCTCCTGGGGCATCTTGATTGACAAATAAAAATTGTTGTTGTGGAGAGTTGTCTCATTGGCAATCATACCAAATCTTCTTATTTTTATAAATGTGGATTGCAATTGAATTGTTAGTAAGACAGCAACCCAACAACAATGCTAAATGGACCTTACACATGTATCCCTATTTGGGAATCTCTGACACTTGAACTTTTGCATGTGACTTTTGTCTGTCTATGATATAATGGATGGCTGACAAATAGGGATACTTGTCATCTAAAAGGCATGTACATGTACATATAGCTCATGCAGTTTTCATCAACAATGTCCTATTTAATTTTCATTATATCAAACTGACTGAGTGATCTTTTTATTATACATGTACATTGTGTACATGTTAAAGTGCTACCATAAAGGTAGAGTTCAATACCCTGTCAGGGCCAATAATGCAATTACAGACGTGAAAATTTGTAGTCTGCCAATCCACAAAACCAAATAGCATTTAGATTACGGAATAAGAGTAAAGACAAGTTGGCCTACATTGTACAACATGTACATGTTGTTTGTAGCTCCTTAGATAATAATGTATCTAGGTTACTGGTAAAGTGACATGTCTTCTTACGGACTGTTACCTTGTAAACTAGCACATTCAAAACAGGCTCGGAGAGTAGGTCTAGTATAAAGCAGCAGTGTTCTCCCCAGGGCCTTTTAGTAAGATGGTATTTCAAATTTCCTGTTTCCCAGGATGCTATATGAAATATCTGGGGAGAACACTGAGCAGGGTAGATTAACTTGCTCTTGTCATGCTTGTCTTGATAATAAATGTAGCTGATTTGCATGTGATAATTAGTAATAAAAAAAAATTGCCACTGGACATTTATAAGCACCAATCCATCATCTGAAATCCTGAATTAAATGTGTAATAATGCTTGAAATATATTTTTGATGTATTACATACATGTACATGCATAATGATGACATTGTGATACGTAAGATGCAATGCTTCAACCTTGCCATCATCTACACATTGTAAGCAACACTTGTGCCAAAAATATTCCTGTCCCCCAAAAATTATATTTCTGTTTTCTGTCTTCTTAACCATGTTAACATACTTTAATAAAGCCTAACAAAATAATTAATATTAATTGCTGCCAACATACTAGATAAAGATAGGAGAGGTACATGTACATGTAAGAATGAGGTAGGTACAAATACAATCTAGGCATGTAATTGTATTTTTCAAAAAGTGTTTGACTGAGTTATACAGGGGAAACAGTCCTTCATTAATATTGCTTGTTCAAAAATGACAAAGAATCTTCAGGGTCATGAGGGTGTGTTACATGTAGGTGTAAAAAACATGGTTATTTTTTTTATGAAGCCAAACAATGCTTTGACAGTTTGTTCGAATCTTTGACCTTAACTCCTTTTATTGGTTTGCCAAAAAAATTATCATTAATAAAGAAATCTCTGTTTGTAGCATAGACATATACATTTTGTATAAAGAGTAATCTAAGAATCCTTAGACTTTTCAAGAACAAAAACATATTTTATTACCAATTAAGGGCTCACAAGGGGCATAGAGAAAACATGTACATGTATAAGGAAAAAGAACATTGATTAGCATAGATACACAACCTCACAATACAATTAGACTGTAAAAAAATAATAAAGCCCTTGCTTTATAGACGGAAATTCAAATATGAGTTACATTTTCTTTGTTCATGCTTACATGTATGCCTGACACTAATGTGGTACTTTTCTTTCAGTCCTTGTGTGGAGCTACATTACAGATACCAACCATTGACGGTAGGAGGATACCATTGCGTTTAACAGAAGTGATAAAACCAAACTCTGTCAAAAGAATTCAGGGAGAAGGACTTCCACTACCTAAACAACCCTCGAGGAGAGGGGACTTAATAATAGAATTTGACGTTACCTTTCCTAGTCAGTTGTCGCAAAGTGCTAAAGAAATTCTTTCGGACTGTCTACCAAGATCATAGAATATTTATTATTAATTATAGTTATGAATTAGAAGCTGTGAAATCAACAAGTCATTGTTCGAAGAAAAAAAACTGTGTCGATGAACTTGAACCATTCTCATTTTCTATGTACTAGAATTTTATCATCTTTAAAACTATGATTCTAGAAAAAAGAAGTGTTATCATTGTTTACGATTATTTATCTAGACAAGATGTATAAACCTACAGGGGATAAGATAAGTTTTGTAGGTGTATTTTTCATGTTCTTTGGAGCACAGCCAGTTAAGTGATGTGATGATTCATACACGTATTTACATTAATATTTTGTACCTATACAAAAGAATCAGAAGTTAAACAGCAGTGATTAATTAGAACATCATGAACTGGTTTGTGGGGGAAGTCCAGTGGTGATATAAATAGACAAAATTGTGACTGAAATTAATGAAAAGAAAGATTAGCATGTGCAAGTTTAATTTATTACTCAAATCAGGATGTAAACTGTATCAAAATACAGGAAAAAAACATCAGGATAGGGTCATGTAATCTGTGTCAAATATATACACAAAATATGCAATAAATTCAAATCCTTAATCTTTGAATAGCATGAACATGATGAATAGGATCTGAAAGTGCTTATTGAAATTTAAAACGTACATATAACTGTACATGTACAAAAAATATAGGTCCTTAGAGATATTTTGTCCAATTCAATATTTTTTATTTTATAATAATATTGTATTTTATGGAACACTTTCTGTCAACAATTTTAACAAATGTTTGTATTGTGAAAATATAAAAAAAATGGTCTGTTAATAACATCTTGGGAATTAATTACACAGAAACAAAGGCTCAACCCAGGCTACATTTTACTAAAAATGCATGTAAGAATTTATGCGTGCAATATCCCAAACTGATCCTTTAAAATGGGAAAAACTTTGTTCAGTTTTTTAAACCCTGCTCACCTATTTTTTTCAAAATTTCAAATTCTAATTAGGACTTTTATTTTGGGCTTCTATGAGTAAAATGCTAAGTTCTGAAAATGCACAATAATGCTCCTTGATATACATGTATTTATATATACATGTACATATACATGTATCCCCTTGGCATTATACATGTATCTGTTATTTTCACAAGCAGTAATTCTTTTGGGAATTTTAATTATCTGTTGTGTGTTGACCAGATCTACAAATTTTGTATTACATTGTAATATGCTGTGCTTTCACCTAAGGCAAAAAAAAAAGATAACATTGTATGTGAATTTCTAATAACAGCTTTAAAAAAATTTAATTGTTATACAATTAAGTCAGGTAATATTTATAATATAAATACAAGAACGATTTTAAAGTTCTACAATGCTACTGTTTGGATTTGCAATATGGGTATACTTTATATTAAAAAATGTATGGGCATGCAAATTTGTGTAACAGTATAAATAAAATATTTTCGTAAAAATGAAGTGTGTAGCTATATATAGATACATAATGTATACAGGAAGACCTGAACTCCCCTATCCTGCTTCCTTTTTATCAACATAAATTATGTGGAAGGCATTTGACTTTAAAAAGGTGCCACACCCCCAACCAAATTTTTTGTCAAAATCTGGATCTGCATTTGGCAGAAATGTACATGTACAGTTATACACATAGCTTAATTACTATACAGTAGGAGTCTAGCTCATTGTTGAAGGACGCACAGTGACATTTTAAAGTTGCTTGTTGCTGGTGGATAGTTGTCTTGTTGGCAATTATACCACACACCCTTCAGTGCCCATATTTTTATACATGTAAGGACATGTAAACAATGGTAAAGGTCATAAACTTGTATTGTAAGAAACTGTTATTTGGATTATTGAATTTTTTTTGAAAATCACAAGTAGATGTTTGTCTTCTTTTGAAATTAAAGAAGCGTAGTATGTAAACTTTCATAACAAAATATTATTCGAAAGAAACTATTTAAATACTAGTCAACTGTAGGTCATTGTGTAAGTATTGTGGGCATTGCCTTTTGTTTAGTATGTAAACTGTCAAATTACTTAAAATTTAAGCTCCTTATGTCCATAATTCTGGTAGGTCAGACAATACAATTTAAATGTCCATTCAAGAAATGTCACTACCTGCAGGTAATTTTAACGAAGTACTACAATTAGATTAAAATTTGGTTAATGGCCATCCTATATTGTTTATTGATTCTATGGTTAACCTCCCTTGCAAAAAAGACAAATGAATTATAACTGAAGACGCTAAACTAGATGTTCTTTTTATAAAGCACCAAGTCTATCCATCATAAATACCGGTAGTTTTTTCTTCTTCCCAAAACAGATTTTCAGTACCCATTATCTGCATTCTTGCTAAAAATAGATAAAATGTACTTGTCAAAAAAGATCAGTACATTACACTAGTAGTAACTAATATAACATTGTAAAAATAGTAAAAAATCTTTTCTCAACCCTTCATAGGATTGGTAAAGATATGCTGTTGTTAAACTTAACATTTATTGGGGATGGCCTTACAAAGGGATTGTTCACAAGATTTGTTGTGTTGCTTAATTAAGCAGCTTATATAAGGATAATTGATATCTACATATGTTTTGTTGTTACATGTTTGTATGATTGTGAAGTATTGTTTTGCCAATATTATTGGTGAGGGAGTTGTTGATGTTATTGTTTATGAGTTGGTGTATATGAGTGGTAGAGGTATGCACTTGGTAAATGAAAAAATGCATCTGCGTGAAATTGCTCATACTATTTGCAATCCATTAATAAAAATCTTACATATTTAACATGGTATTTCTTTCATTTCACATGTTTAAAATGCTTGAGAAGTTAGTCATGATAAATGCAGTGATTGATCCAAAAAATTCCAGTTGAAGTGCCAGACAGACTTTTTTTTTAATTCCTCAAAATATCTTTTGAATTAATGATCTACATGTACTACATGTACCTGTGTGATACCTTCATCTGAAGCTTAAAAATTACAAGTTTCTATCTCATTTTGATAAAACAGTGTTGCACATGTACATTTTCTGTTTCTTTGTATGCACTTAAATTTGTGTGTATGAAATTTTAAGCAATTTGTTTCCACGGGTTACAGACAATATTTGGACAATACATGTATACATGATGTACAAAATATACCTACCTTTAATTCTTGTTTACTTTGTGAAATATTAAGACATGTTCAAGTGTAAGTGAAAGGCATTTACATAAGTTAAAGCAAGGGTACATTTATAGTGTTTATTACATACATAGAGTTATTACTGGCTTTAAAAAAAGATAAATTTAATTTGGAAATGCATGTAGCCAATAAATTAGAGAAAAAATGAAAAAAAAAACACTTTCATGAGTCCAAAGCGAATTTCTGGATTCACCATCATCAGGACCACTCGAAGTGGGATATTTGAAAGCCAAGGATGTATAAGATGCGAAACAGTTGAAGAGCTATATTACCAAAAAGGACCGCTGTTCTTATTACATTATGACCAATTTACAAGTAGTCATACCTTTTCGGAAGATATGAACAGAATATAGTGATCTCATGTTTTAGGTGTGCTTGCCTTTAGTGTGGAAGTTTGTGGTTTCAATCCCTAGTTGGGGTCAAACCAAAGACTTGAAAATAGGTATTTGCTGCTCCCGGTGAAGGTTAGCATGTCTCCATGCAGACTTACCTTTTGAATGAGCATGATAAAAGCCTGCTCAGCATGTCAGTTTAATACAAATCAAGGTTCATTAGCATTTTCTCATCCTGATAGGCATGTAATATTTCCCACCTGATGTGAAACAAATCCATCATCGTTATCTATCAAGATATGCCCCTTGTGCCACCCTCAACTGTAATATCAGTCTGAAAGAACACATGGATGTAGTAATCTATAATTAAATATAAAACTGTTGGAAGTCATCTTATAGATTCCTTCATTTGTTCCACAACAATGGAATTTGATCTTTATAATTTCTGCCCACTTAATATGAAGACCAAAAAGTCTCTTCTAGGAACAGTTGGCCAAAATAATGTTAAAATGGTGATTTGTTCAGTTTTTCTTCTACACCACATCCATACGATTTGTCTAATTAAAGGAAAGATTTGGTATACATGTATGCATTACCCTCAAAACCAATATCAAATCATAGAAAAGACTAACATTTTCCATCTAGGGGCTTAATCTGTCACACTATGAAAAAATTAATATGCATGTATAATGGACATTTTAGTAAATTACCCTAAATTGTAGTTGCCTTGGCTGCAAAGTAAATTATTGTCGGGGTAAAAATAACAAGGTGTATTACATTTTAGCTTTACACTTGCACCTAATCAATGTACATTTATACTAAAATGTAGTGCAGTCACACGACAGAACTGAAGAATATAGTTTTCTAACGGAAAGTAGTATGGGATTTGCATGCTTTTTTGTGTGGCTATTTCATATATCTAAACAATAATACAGGGGCTGCTAATTATATAATGAAATAACTAACTATACGAATGTCAGAATATTTGTGTTGGTGATGATTCTACAAGACGTCATGCCTTGAATTCATGTTGTATCAGATCTTTTATCTGACTTTATGTAGATAAGGAATTTATCTCGAGGAATTTATATATAGGAAATCAAACTTGCTGCCTTGAACTGCATGCAATGAGTATAAAAAGAATGTCCCAACTGGATTTCCACTTTGTAACCTCTACATATCATGATCAGCAACGTATATTAGAACTTTAGTTAACTAAATATAAAAATAAGAAGATGTGGTAGGATTGCAAATGAGACAACTATCCACAAGAGACCAATGACACAGAAATTAACAACTATACGTCACTGTACGGCCTTCAACAATGAGTAAAACCCATACCGCATAGTCCGCTATAAAAGGCCCCGAAATGACAAATGTAATAAGGTCGCTTTGTATATCCTCTATTTATAACGTAATCGCGGATGTCCGAGCCCTTCGACTTTTTTTTTTGTTTCCCAATTTCAGAATGCTCATGTTTTTTTTATGCCACCGCCGTAGCGGTGGGGCATTAAGTTTTACCCTTGTCTGTCTGTACTTACGTACGTACGTCCGCCCTTACGTCCCAAAATTGGTTTCCGTTCTCTAACTTGAGTTTGCCTCAACCAAATGTTATGAAACTTATACACAATGCTTATTACCACAAAACACAGATCAAGTTTGAATTTTGGAGGCGTCACATTAACCGTTCTAGAGTTATGCTCCTTTATAAATGGAAATATTGCAAAGTTTTTAGTTTCCGTTCTCTAACTTAAGTTTGCCTCAACTAAATGTTATGAAACTTATACACAATGCTTATTACCACAAAACACAGATCAAGTTTGAATTTTGGTGGCGTCACTTCAACCGTTCTAGAGTTATGCCCTTTATAAATGGAAAAATTGCAAAATTTTTATTTTCTTCTAAATATCAAGTAATTTTTAAAATGGGAGTTATCTTCCTTTGTCCATGATTATAGTTGAATCAACTACAATCAATGCTTTATACAATGCAATGTTTAATTTTGACTTCCACTGATAAAACACAGATCAAGTTGAATTTTGGTAGTGTCACTTTAACCATTATTGAGTTATGCCCCTTTATGAATCCAAAGATTGCAAAATTTTTAGTTTCCATTCAGTAACTTAAGTTTGCCCCAACCAAACATTATGAAACCTATACACAATATTCATTACCACAAAACTAAGATCAAGTACAAATTATTTGTTTCCGTTTTCTAACTTTAGTTTGCCTCAACCAAATGTTATGAAACTTATACACAATGCTTATTGCAGCATAATACAGATTAAGTACGAAATTTGGTGGCGACACTTTTACCATTCTTGAGTTATGTCCCTTTATAAACATAAAAATTGCTGAATTTTTCGTTTCCGTTCTCTAACTTTAGTTTGTCTCAACCAAATGTTATAAAACTTATACACAACCGTTCTACTATTATTTTGCTATTCAAGCCACAGGCAATTGGGGACACACACGCCCCTTTTATTTCTACGTTACTAATACTTATAACAAATGTAATATAGTTTTGCGACTCATTTCACAAAAAATCTTGCGAGAAAAAACACTCGTATTATTATAAAGTCATGAACATTTATTTCAGCGTTACTAACGATCAATTTTTGTCGTATGATTTTTGTGAAAAGAGCCCCTGGTGTATACATGTATATCAATTAAGACAATCGTGCATCGTGGTAATACTTTATATACATGTATGTGCCTTACTCTACGGTGATGGGGTTTGTTGTTACAGAATAGAGAATAAAACACAAGCGATTCAGAAGATCAGAAAATTAATTTCGAGAAGCCTGAAAATAAATCGGTATTAGTGTAAAACGAATGGATCATAAATTTAAAGAAAAGTAATTTAGCCTGTGACAATTTTTAATGTTTATTGTATAGATGATAGTGTCTACGATATAGCCTATCATGTTAAACTCCAAGTCATTACATCATACAATGTAGGTCAAAATTACCTAATTTTGTCTGCATGCTAGCCTAATCTCTAAATAACAAAAGACCTTCACGAAAGTTTAAATTGTCCTGTAGCTTATATTCTATTTGACAAAAAAACTTTGATGCATGATTACCATATCATTCCAATTATGAAAGGAAGGTCAAATATGTTTGCCGTATAAATATAAAGGTATTTGTTATTATTGCCAATGAGACAACTATCCACCAGAGTTCAAATGAAGAGGATATAAGCAATTATTGGTCACTGTACGGCCTTCAACGTGCTGACTTTAATTTTAGATATTAGTGTATCTGCATACACATTTTGATGATCTAGATCCCTTTCGAAGACTAATCTTTAGATTACTTCGCCTTTACTTCGCCTTTACTAAGTTTACCATGGGTGAACCCTCTGCATTAATGTTCGCAACCCTTAAACCTCAGAAACTTTATCTTGGAGAGACTGACAAGATGCCATAAGATGAAGAGCATATGTCACAATTTCATCATTTAATGACTTTAGTAAAGTTTTAAAACTTCAGTACTTACAATTATTTTTCCATCGAGTTAAGTTCTCATATTATATACTAAGTTACCAAATATAGCATTGTAATGTGAATTGTTGTATTGATGCATATCGGGGATTTCTGTATTCTTTAATTTTTTAGGCCATTTTTCTCTATTCTTTATACTTTTTGCCCATTATTCTCTATTCTTTATATATTAGCACCTCATTATTCTCTATTCTTTATTTTTTTTGTCTTTTGTCTTTTTTCTCTATTCTTTATATTTTTTGCCCATTTTTCTATATGCTGTAAGCCCCCATCCACACTCAGGACTATTTTAGCGCATCGTTGACTTCTATCACATCGTTCGTCCGCGGGTTTCAGATAGGTTTGCGTAGGGATGTTTCTTGGGGAGTGTAGCAGCCTTCATAAGAATACAACAACCTACATTTTACTTTACTTAACAACCAGAATCATAGCTCTGGTACTTAGTGACCTTCTATCATATAATTTTGTGTAAGGGTGCATGTTAACAAGAATAGCAGAAAAAAAACAGAGACATATATTATAATTGTAATATATGTCTCTGGAAAACCTATACTTTATGCTTCATCAACTCCGATAACGTATTACGTCCCCAGTGGCGGATCCAGAGGGGGCGTAGAGGGCGTACGCCCCCCCCCCCCCCCCTTTGCTTGACCTTTTTTTTGGTTTTTTTTTGTAAAATGATTAATCAGACTAGACTTCGTGAACTTTGCCATTTCCCGTGTATTTAATTTTTATGCGACAATTATTTACTTATAAAGATATTTTTC